CCTGCCGTCTGCTGCCACATGCCGGCCCGGTCCCCATTCCTCGTCCCCGTCCCCGTCCCCGTCCCCGTTCCTCGTCCCCGTTCCTCGTCCCCGTTCCCGTCCCTCGTCCCTCGTCCCTCGTCCCCGTCCCCCGGCGGCGTCCCCCGACGGCATCCTTCGGCGGCGTTCCACGTCTTGTCTCTTCTCTCTCGTTGTCATTGTTGTCATTCTCATTGTCCCTGTCGCCCTTGATGACCCTGTGTCCCTTGTTGGCTTGGTCGTCCTTGGTGTCCGTCATTATCGTTGCCCCTATCCGCCCCGGCAGCAAAACTCTCACGTTGTTTCCAACACCAATATCATGGACGTTAAGCTAACACCCTTAACGTATAACCCGGAGACGGTTAGTACCGATTATGACGAAGCCGACAAGCTGTACTTCGAGAATATCAGCTTGGAGACGATTCTCGACATCTACCAATTAGAGGCCGCTGGCGGTATTTTGGGCGCCATGGGTGGCCAGACCCCCAACAACATAGCTCTGCCCCTGCACCGTGCGGGTGTCAAGGTTCTCGGAACCTCTCCTGAGATGATTGACAATGCCGAAAACCGCTACAAGTTCTCTCGTATGCTGGATACCATTGGTGTTGATCAGCCTACATGGAAGGAGCTCACTAGCTTCGAGGAGGCAAAGAAGTTCTGCCAGAAGGTCTCCTACCCTGTTTTGGTACGACCGTCTTACGTTCTTTCGGGTGCTGCGATGAACACCGTCTACTCCGAGCAGGATCTCGAGAATTACCTTGCTCAGGCTGCTGAGGTTTCCCGCGAGCATCCCGTGGTCATCACCAAGTACATCGAGAACGCCAAGGAGATCGAGATGGACGCTGTTGCCAAGGACGGTGTTGTTATCGGTCACTTCATTTCGGAGCATGTTGAGAATGCTGGTGTTCACTCTGGCGATGCTACTCTCATCCTGCCTCCCCAGGACCTGGAGCAAGAGACCATTGCCAGAATCGAGGAGGCCACGCGCAAGATTGGCGCTGCGCTCAATGTCACCGGTCCTTTCAACATTCAGTTCATTGCCAAGGACAACGACATCAAGGTTATTGAGTGCAACGTCCGTGCCTCTCGATCATTCCCCTTCGTCTCCAAAGTCATGGGTGTCGACTTGATTGAGATGGCCACCAAGGCGATAATGGGCAGACCCTTCGTTGAGTACCCTCCCACCACCATCTCTCCGGACTGCGTTGCTTGCAAGGTGCCCCAATTCAGTTTCTCTCGCCTTTCAGGTGCCGATCCTGTTTTGGGTGTTGAGATGGCATCCACTGGTGAGGTTGCTTGCTTTGGTGTTGACAAGTATGAGGCGTATCTCAAGGCTCTCATGTCGACTGGATTCAAGATCCCCAAGGCCAACATCCTTTTGTCCATGGGTTCCTACAAGGATAAGAAGGAAATGCTGCCTTCCGTCGAAAAGCTTGCCCGCCTTGGCTACAAGCTGTTTGCCACCGCCGGTACCGCCGACTTCCTTCAGGAGCATAATATTCCCGTGCAGTACCTGGAAGTCCTCGCCAATGAGCAAGAAGACCAGCGTTCTGAGTTCTCGCTCACTCAGCACTTGGCCAAGAACATGATCGATCTGTACATCAACTTGCCTTCCAACAACAAGTACCGCCGCCCAGCCAACTACATGTCCAAGGGTTATCAGACTCGCCGTATGGCTGTTGACTACCAGATTCCCTTGGTAACTAACGTCAAGAACGCCAAGATTCTCGTCGAAGCGATTGCCCGCCACTTTGAGCTGGGAGTGGCCACCCGCGACTTCCAGACGAGCCATCGCACCATCACTCTGCCTGGCTTGATCAATGTCGCAGCATTCGTGCCCGGCATTGCCACTCAGGCTAGCAACGACCTGTTGGCTGTTACAAAGGCCTCTGTCTCCGCTGGTTTCAGCATGATTCGCATCATGCCTGTCGGTGTCAAGGCTTCCATCACAGATGCTCTCACTCTGAAGGTTGCTCAGCAGAGCGCTAAGAACGGTGGCTTCTGCGACTTCAACTTCTCCGTTTCTGCCACCTCTGACAATGCTGATCAGATCAGCCACGTCACTGGTGAAGTTGGTTCGCTCTTCATCCCCTTCAACCACCTGTCTGGCAACATCAGCAAGGTCGCCGCCGTGACTTCTCACTTCGACAAGTGGCCCACTCACAAGCCCATTGTCACTGATGCGAAGCTGACCGACCTGGCTTCTATCCTGCTCCTGGCAAGCCTACACAACCGCAGAATCCACGTCACATCTGTGTCCACCAAGGACGACATCAGGCTGATTGCCCTCAGCAAGGCCAAGGGCCTGAAGGTGACCTGCGATGTCTCCATTTTCTCTCTGTACCTCTCGCAGAACGACTTCCCTGACTGCGCTCTCCTCCCCAATGAGGCTGACCAGAACGCCCTCTGGGAGCACCTGAGCACCATTGATGTCTTCTCCATTGGAAGCTTGCCATACCAGCTTGCCAGCTCCCTGGGCAAGACTGCCGACCCTGCCGTTGGCATCGCCGACGCTCTGCCCCTCCTGCTCACCTCCGTGACTGAGGGCAAGCTCACGATTGACGATATCAAGGCTCGCCTGTACGACAACCCCAAGGAGATCTTTGAGCTCCATGAACAGGTCGGCACCACCGTCGAAGTTGAGATTGACCGCCCCTATGGTGTTCAGTCCACCTCAGGGTGGTCACCTTTCGAGGGTCGCACTATGCGCGGATCCGTTCAGCGTGTGACCTTCCAGGACAAGACTGTCTGCTTGGATGGAGAGCTGCTGCCTCTGCCTTCTCTCGGCAAGGATATGTCGACTCATGGCGCTCTTCCCATGTCGCCCACGATCAAGCCTCAGTTGCAATCCATGACTCACCCCGAGAGCCCCCGTGACCGCCGGCCTTCCATGTTCAACTCCACCAGGCCGTCCAAGCTCCGTTCCGCGGATGGCCCTCTTCCCAACAAGACATTCGGCACCTTTGACGAGCTTAGCCTGCCGCCCCTCCANATGGCCCTCTTCCCAACAAGACATTCGGCACCTTTGACGAGCTTAGCCTGCCGCCCCTCCACCCCGCGATCGGCTCCAAGCTCCACGACCTTCTGTCGCAGCCCTCGTCTTGGAAGCAGCACAGCGTCTTGTCTGTTACCCAGTACACTCGTGCTGATCTCCACCACCTCTTCACTGTGGCCCAGCAGATGCGTCTCGGTGTCCAGCGTGAGGGTGTCTTGAACATCCTCCGTGGACGCGTTCTTTGCACTTTGTTCTACGAGCCCTCCACTCGCACTTCGGCCTCTTTCGATGCTGCGATGCAGAGACTTGGCGGCCGCACCATTGTCATCTCCACTTCCCACTCTTCCGTTCAGAAGGGTGAGACCCTCCAGGACACCCTCCGCACTCTTGGCTGCTACGGTGATGCCGTTGTCCTCCGACACCCGGAGGAGTCCAGCGCCGACATTGCCCGCCGATATGCTCCTGTTCCCGTCATCAACGGCGGCAACGGAAGCAAGGAGCACCCCACCCAGGCTTTCTTGGACCTCTTCACCATCCGTGAGGAGCTTGGTACTGTCCAGGGCCTGACCATTACCTTTGTGGGTGATCTTCTCTACGGCCGCCCTGTTCACTCCCTCATCTACCTCCTCCGCGACTACGGTGTGCAGGTTCAGCTCGTCTCTCCCAAGGGACTGGCTCTGCCCGCCGAGGTCCGCGAATACCTCATTGCTTCCGGACAGCTCCTGTGCGAGTCTGAGGAGCTCACTCCTGAGATCCTGGGCCGCAGCGATGTGCTCTACTGCACTCGTGTCCAGAAGGAGCGTTTCCCGACGGTCGAGGAGTACGAGAAGGTCAAGAACTCGTACCGCATCGATAACCGCACCCTCAAGTCGGCCAAGAAGGATATGTGCATTCTGCACCCTCTGCCCAGGAACGAGGAGATTGCGCCTGAGGTGGACACCGACCAGCGGGCGGCTTACTTCAGACAGGTATGTTTCCCCTACCCCCGTCTTTTGGGACGCACACTAATACATTCGCAGATGAGGTATGGTCTGTACTGCCGCATGGCGTTGCTTGCGTTGGTTATGGCACCATAGATTTGGTTTTCTTCCCTTCCCTTTATGTCGGAACCGGAAGACAAAAAAGACATGAAAATTTTCAATGTTCAAGACTTGGGTTTTCTTGATTCGGTGTTATTGGGGTTTCTTTTCATGATATACATAGAGCAAAGTAGAAGCAACTACTTCAAACCAATGGGTGTAAACGCGATAAGACATCATGGCTCGCGCCATGTGTAAGAAGGGTATGGTTTTATTAGGTTTATTTGGGCAGTGCGTACTGCGTTGCGTGCGTTTGTTACGTACGTGTACGTTTTGCGTATCTGAATGCGTTTACGACGTTTTACGATATGATACCCCCCGTCGTATGTACGGAATGAGATACGTTTGTTTGGTTTTTTTCGCTGTGTGCCCTGTGTGTTGCGTGTATGTGTTTTGTGTGTATCGTGTGTTTTTCTGTAGTCATCCAAGCAAGTACCGCGGTCAGGCCCGGTCGAATCTGGGCTGGTCCCTGCTGCGCACTCTAAACCCCACTGGAATGGGTTTCCGCAAGCCATGGAGAAACACTGATGGCTGACCACCGTACTGCACCGTAGTGGTGCTCGAGATGCGCGTCGGTGGAACATTCTACGTTCCTTGGAATGTGGGGTGGGGTTCCCGCTCTGTCAAGCCTGCCCCTCCCCTCTTTCTCCAAAAAATGCAAGCATCATGAGGGAGAGCTTGTGGTGTCATGTCATAAGAACGACTCACCACCACGATTGCTGCGCGAATTGTATGTCTTCTTGCAGAACATCACGCCGATAACACGACGCCTGCATCAGCCTGCAGGATCTGGTCAGTTCTACCTTTAACGTGCTTATCATACGAGAAGAGTGTTACGAGCATACTTTGAAGCGTCAGGTACTCTTATGCGGCCAAGCTTAGCAGCGAGACTTTCAAGATCGCTCAGGATGGCTCTTCACCCCCCGCCAGAGAGCGAGAAGCTCATCTGTAAGTTACGCTGCTTCTATGTGTAGATGAGGTGTGGTGAGTGAGATGCAGTAGGTAAGCTGTGTCGACGACAAGCCGTCATCGGGAGGACGTTTGGGTCATGGGTATCATCACGTCACAGTCACACAATGCTTCCAGATCTCAGCACCTCACCTCCTCCTTGGCCCGGCACACAAAATGGAACTAACATCAAGAGAAAAAGTCGCGCCCGCCGGGTCTCAGCAAAACACCCGCGCCGACCAGTTCACCCTCTCGGCCCTCCACCGGCGCGACCTGGACCCCTCGGGGTCGCCCATCCCGCAGTTCAACGCCTGGTTCAGGGCCGCGCAGGAGTCCCACGCCGTCTCGCACCCGGAGACGTGCACGCTCTCCACGGCGTCCCTGCCCTCCGGCCGCGTCTCGGCGCGCATGGTCTACCTCAAGGAGCTCGACGGCAAGGGCGGCTTCGTCGTGTACACCAACCTCGGCACCTCGCGCAAGGCCGCCGACCTAGCGACCAACAAGCACGCCTCGCTGGTCTTCTGGTGGGAGGCGCTCCAGCGGCAGGTCCGCGTCGAGGGCGTCGCCGGGCGTCTGAGCCCGGAGGAGAGCCAGGTGTACTACGACACGCGCGTCCGCGGGAGCAGGATCGGCGCGTGGGCGAGCAGGCAGAGCCAGGTCCTCGAGCCCAAGCCGGACGTCGTCAGCGGCACAGAAGGCGAAGACGACGGGCGCGCGCAGCTGGAAGGCTGGGTTAAAGAGGTTGAGGAGCGGTTCGATGGGCAGGAGAAGATCCCGGTACCCGAGTTCTGGGGTGGTTTGAGGATCGTGCCGGATCGGATTGAGTTCTGGCAGGGCCGGGAGAACCGGCTTCATGATCGGTTCGTGTACGACAAGGAGGAGGGCGAGGACGATAAGTGGACGGTCAACAGGCTTAGTCCCTGAGTGGGGGCGCTCTCTCATGGATCTTCGGCATGGCATAGGTGGCTTAGATCCTTTCAGGGATAGACAGATCACTAGAGAAGATTGGATGTGTTTCAACAATAGATGAAGTTCAACGATGTTGTCTTTGCAGGACTACATTACCAAATAGGGTATGTAAAAAATAAGATTTCCAGTAATGCCCGACAGTCCCCACTCCAATGTGGGAGAAAACAGCAGATTCCTTTGTTTGCCCCCAAACGCCGGCCACCCAATCGCCCAAAATTACAAGGTGCAATTCCATCAAGCCTTGTGTGAAAGCCGAGGTTGGTATCCCAAAAAGAAAAAAAGACAAGAGAAAGTCGAAACCGTTGAAAAAGAGCTTTCCCAAATCGCCCAAGGGGGGGCTCATGCAGAGATGTACCGTGAAAACCGTATGCCAGACGTTATACACACAAACAGCAGAATGCTCGCTCGCTTACTTCAAATAGTTCATACATCAAGCTCTTCTCCGACGGGGGAGAGTCCCTTTTCATTTCCAGAAAAGGGAAGCGACATGTAGTCGCCGGCGAAGGCCGTCTGCTCCAAAGCCGCGCGTACTTCGTCGCCAAAGGATTCAATCTCGGACTTGGGGGTATCCACAGGAGTAAGCTGCAGGCCCAAACCGACCACTGTAGTTCCAATGGTCATGCTCTTGCTCTTGCTGTGGCCCATCTCGTGAGGCTGGGCAGGGCGCGCAGAGTTGTAGTGGCGAGCGGCCATCTGCATGTCGACCATGGTGTCGGTAATCAAATCCTCGTCGTCGACCAAGGGCTTGATGCGATAGTTGAGATTCTCATAGATGCAACGCTCGGTTACGTTGATCTGCTCGCACGACCAGATATCCTTGCCCCAGTTCGAGCAGTAGTATGAGGTCGAGTCCTGGCAGTCGTCGGTGAATTTGGCAGCGATCACGAGAGCAGCGAGGATGATCAGCTCGGGCTGGACCGAGTCGATGTGCATTTGCTGCTGCTGGCGACGATCGAGGAGGGGGCTGTGGAGGGTGTGGCGCTTGTTGTGCGAGGAGGCGCCATCAACGAGCAGGGGGCACTGAAGACGCCAGCTCAAAGCGAATTTGGAGTTCAGAGAGTCGAGAATGCAGACTGCCAAGGCAATGGTCTCAAGCGGGAGACCGGCCCGGCTGAGCATGGCCTGGACGAGAGGAACGGAGGGCGTCGTGAGAGAAGCTGACGTGGGAACAAGATTGACAAGATGGATGGCGGGGCCTGCAGGTGGGTGGGTGGTTAGCATTGCATTGCATATACGTAAAGTAGTGTAGGATTGGAGCACACTCGCTCTCTCGAGCAAGAGTTGCGCGGCGGAGGTCAAGGTGGAGGGGGAAGAGTGTCACGTAATACATACCCAGGAACTTCTCTTGCAGGACCTCGCCATCTTCCAGGCCTGTCTTTGGGCTCTGGTGTGCTGAGGTGTTTCTTGAAGAAGGCGGCGGAGTGGGAAGGTTGGAGAGGGGTCGGTAGGTGAAGTAGGCCTCCTCGGCTCCGTACTCATCGTCCGAGTAGTCGGGATTCTGGAGCTGTCTCGCCATGTTGCCCATTGTGACGGTTTTGTGTGTATCTTTTGTCTCTGCTCTGGTCGCCGCTGTCTGGTGTATGCGATGCGGTGTAGCACAACGAGGCTAAATTGTCGACTGTTCGGCCCGGGCGTAGATTATCTATTCGTAGATCGTAGCAGTCGGGTGCAGTGGGTGTCGTAAAAGCCAACTCTTCCTGTCCTCTGTCCTGAGCAGTTGGGGGCGCTGCTCATATTCGTATAAAGCGTGTCTTCGGAGTGTATTAGGGCAGACACGTCTCGGATGCTGGGGAGTATGAGGCGACGTCGGATTGATGAAGCGAGAGGATCAAGGGCAGCAGATTAGATCGAGGAGGGAGGTCGGGCCGGTATATGTAGTAGACTGGACGGGGTGGGTTGTACTCGTAGATGGACACTGAGGTGGAGGGAAGAAAGGAAAGGGGTCGAGGTTGCTGGCGCAAAAGTTATGCAGGGTTCATAAAGCGAAGTAAGGCTGAGTCCACGTCTTGAGTCGGCGATGGATGATGGATGGATGGGTCGAGCAAGCCCAAGCCCAAGCACCGGCACCAGCACCAGCACCAGCGGACCCAGCAGCAAGAAACGGCCACGACCACGGCCACACGGCCATGGCCTCGCAAAGAGCGGAAAGCTGGCTGGGCTGGGCTGGGGTGAGAGGGAGGTATTCGGCGGTGGGCGATGCACCATGTGGGCTGGATGCTGGTACGGGATCCAGAAAGACCCGAATTGAATTGGGGTGGAGGTGCGAGAGATGGCCCGTGTCGACTGTTGCTTGCTGCGAGAAGCTACCAGGTGGATACGTCCAAGCCCCCCACCCCCACCCGGTGCCACCCCCCGACATGCACCCAGAAATACTAGCGTCGTATCTGGAGCGGGAATCGCTCTGAAGACAGCCCTGAAGGCCTTTCTCTTGCCGCGGGAGGCACTTTCTTCAGGCTTCGTTTCCCTGTATTTCGTGCGCTACCGATACAACTTCGGTCCTACAGCCAGCGGAGGCTCCAGAGACGCCGGGACCTGGACAGTCGCAGTGGGTGGGATTCCCGGGGGTTCCTCTTTTGTTGTTGTTTTTTTTCGTGCGAGTTTGCTCGGCTCTTTAGCGTATCTGCAAGGCGAGAGCAGGGGGGCGGAAGAAATGCAGAGGCACCAAGAAAGAAAGTGAGTAAATATTGGGAATACGGGCATCAACAAGTGACAAATTGCTACGGAATCAACTGGCCACGACACGAATACATGCCTTGCCCCGAATACGCGGCGCCCAGCTTCGAAAGTCGGAAACTATTGATGTCTTGATGCCGGCTCGTGCATATTCCACGCATACCTAGGTAGGCAAGTTTTCAGTAGAAGAAACCCGGCAGAGACAGAAGCCTCACGGAGTTTGCGGTAGACGGGCACCTACCTTACGAATACCTTAGGTAGGCAAGACATGCTCAGACAATCGTCACTGAACCAACACCCGTCAGTTTCAGCCCCTTGGAAACCAAACCACCACCTCAGTCACAAAACAGGCTCGCAGTGACGAAGGTTGACGCAACTCGAGACAAGCATGAGCATCCCGGACTCACAGAATCTTGCAAGCGCAAAATTGGTTTCGATTCTCTGCTGATGGGCGAAACAACTGTTCTTTCGACACGTCCTGGCTTATTCCCTGACCTGCGATCATAGTGCCCCAACTAAGGTAATGCCTCCCACTCCCAATACATACATGGCACGGTAAAGTTCCTACCTATGGCAGGATGACGTTGGACGCCGGCGCATGGCTGAGCGCTGCGCTGCGGCAGTTGCGAACGTGCGGTTGGCCGTGCCTCACAGTCACTCACACCCTCCTTCCGTCCATCCCAATCATCATCGTCCATCTTATTCATCTCATCTCATCTCATCTCATCTCATCCCGTCGAGGCATCCCATCTCACTCGTTCGCTTCCCGGGTAATTCAGTCGCAACCCACATGGCATACAGCTTCCCCCGTGCTCCGTTGCCTATCCAAGACAAGGTCGATTCGGGGAAAAAGAAGGTATTTGGGTGGTGCGTGTAGGTGTTTTACCAGGCACATCCAGGAACGGCCGCGTCGTCGTCACACAGATGGTCGATCAGATGGTGCCATTGCAACAAGTCCTCAGTGGTGGTAGGTATTTCACGAATAACACGGGGGTCTTCGTACCTATGTACATTGCAGCTGCCAGCAGGTACCTGCCGAGGGGAATCTCTCGCTCGCACAATTATCCAACGTGCCACCTGGGGATGCTGCCTGGAACCACCAAGGAGCGTCTGGTCCCAGAAGAGGAGCCTCCCGCGAGTTGCCTCTCTCTCAGTGTCGTGTTATTCTGTTGTTCCTGGCCACTGCCAGGGGGTAGCCCGGCTCAACGGCCACTCACCGTGACGACAGGTGCTAATTTGGGTGTCAATTGATGTTCGTTCGTCCAGTGGGTACGGTGGAGCTGCCAGCGGGCAGGAGGAAGTCGGCAACCAGTTCCATTGTCTCCTCGCATTTCGGGGACGCCTGCTGTCCACTCGCCCCTCGGGAAGCCATGGAACAAATGGATCTACCTCCTCCAAGACTCCAGCAACAACATCTGATCTGGTTCTGATTTTGATGGACAGGCGCAAGCACGACACACGACACACATTACCAACCACACAATACGACAGGGCCAGGGTCTGGGACGGGGACGGGGACCAGGACGCGACTGGCAAGAGCGGCAATTCTTCACCGCAGGCGGTAACGAGAGGCTGCTCCAGACCCATTCGTTCCCTCGCCTGCGCTGGCTTCCCTGACGAACGCGCAGCGGTTCCTTATTCCCATCTTTATCGCCAAGCACCAAATGCCCTGATCCAAGATGAATCCGAACCAGCAAGCCGCCCGCCCGCCCGCCCGGCCGATCCAGCAACGACACCACCGTCCACTGTCTATCATCCATCAGATGAGTGACATTGGCCGCCGTCACGTCCCCTGTGGACCTTGGGTTTGCAGCATCATGCTACGCTGAGACCCCTAGTGTGCCTAGCGTTCTTAGCATCCCAAGTGACGTGCTAACCCAGCCACAGCCACGCCCAATAGCAGATTTTTCCTCCTTGGAAGTCAAGAAGTCCTACCTATCCACATACCAACCCATAGTGCTACCCAGTACGGATCCTCGCCGTGTCGCGCCGCTCGTCCCTTTGTTCTTACCCCAGAGTCCCGAGGACAAATCAGGTGGGGAACCCTTGGGCAAAGGAGGGAGCCGCTGCTAATCGGCCTCTCGTCATATCCGCCGTTCTTTGCCATATCGCGGCACCTGTTCCTGTTTCGGTTCCTGGCTTCTTCTTTGCCTCTCTCTTTGTTGACTGATTTGATATTCAACAGTGACGGAGAGTCGAGGCCTTGCCCTGCCACAAGCGCAACCACAACCGTCACAGGCCAGCCAGTCCAGAACACGGCTTTGGCCTTCACCGCTCCGTCC